GGCAAGCCCAGGAAGTTAAGAGAAGGGATTTTCTTTTAAATCGTTTTATTGGGGCCTCTTACAGGTCTTTTCACAATGTACATGCACGTCCTTTGTCTCAGCACATATGTCCATGTGTTGCCATAATCATCTTCAAAACATCTTCTTTCTACTTGAGCTTTTGGTATCTGCTCATTTTCCCCACATCCCCATGCTTTCTCCCTCATGAACCCTTGATAATTTTTTTTTTCTTACACCGACTAATGTCTCCCTTCACCCACTTTTCTGGTGTCTGTCCCCCCTGGGAAGGTGTTTTATATATATAGATCATTGTGATAGGTTCTCTCTTTCTCCCCCTACCTTCCCCATACCTTCCTGGTATCACTACTCTAATTATTGGTCCTGAGGGGTATTTCTGTCCTGGATTCCCTGTGAGCTCTTATCTGTACCCATGTACATGCTGTGGTCCAGCCAGATTTGTAAGGTAGAATTCGGGTCATGATAGTAGAGGGGGGTCAGGGAGGAAGCATTAAAGAACTAGAGGAAAGTTGTATGTTTCATTGGTGCTATATTGAACCCTGACTGGCTCATCAATTCCTTGTGTCCCTTCTGTAAGGGGTTGGCCAATTGTCTACAGATGAGCATTGAGTCTCCATGCCACACTTCCCCTCATTCTCATTGATATGATTTTTGTTCTGATGATGTCTGATACCTGATCACATGGATACCGCGTGACCACACAGGCTGGTGTGCTTCTTCCATGTGGGCTTTGTTTTATCTCAGCTAGATGGCTGCTTGCTTATCTTCATGCCTTTAAGACCCCAGATGCTCTATCTTTTGATAGCCAGGCACCAAGTTTTCTTCACCACATTTGCTTACGCACCCATTTGTCTTCAGCCATCCCATCATGAAGGTGAGCATCACAGAATGCCAGGTTATTAGAACAAAGTACTTTTGCGTTGAGGGAGGACTTGAGTCGAGGCCTAATGTCTGTCTGCTACCTTAATACTTAACATGTTAATACATGCACATAGATCTTTTTCCCTATTGTTAAATATAAACATATTTGTATACATACATGCCTGTATTTAGACCTCTATGAATGTTAAAGGAGGGGTCTTTTTTTT